CTGCCAGTTTCTCAAATATGGGAATTTGCCATATATGACAGCAAATTAAATATCTTTGGGTCAAATAAAAGCAACCACTTTAATTTCATCAACTTGAGATGCAGGAAATAAGTTTTTTTAAGCCCTGTTTGCAAGTTAATTTGTTTAAATGCTGAGTTTTTATCTGTTGGTTGGATAAAACAAAGTTTGAAGACGAAATTGGGATGTAACATTTTTGAACAATATTTTCATGTTTAATAGATCAAACAATTGATGAATTCAGAAAATAATGATTAATGTACAGATTAATCTGTACAGTTGCAGCCCTAATAGACTGGCTTAGAGCTGTCTTTTATCAGTGATATATAAATTAATTTCTTGGCCAATTTGTTGTCAAAGCAGCAAGAAAGTGAAAACGAATCTCAGTTGAAGTAACATGAGGAAAATTCACCCTCTGGTCTGTTTTCCACTGGATAAAAGCACCCTGCCTCTTTGCCTACAAAAGTGGGAGCATCTCAGAAGGGCTTGATGATAAGAGAACCAAAAGTCCCAGGACAGAGATGTACTATTGTAGATGTTCAACAGTATTATTGTCTGTCATACAGAATGTGGAAAGGAATCATCACTTGTTTTATATCTGTTCTGTTTGCAGGATTCTTACAGCATTTTGTCCAGTTTGAATAAAGGTTCCTTTTCTGTCTGTCTTTCTTTACACTACCACCCACCCTCAACAGCCCCCCAGGTCCAGTCTAACCCCCTCCTCCTCTAGAGGTGAGTTCCAGTAAGGGGCTCGCGTTGATCATCCTAGGCCATTTCCTGTCACATTGGTCAATCACACCCTCAGCAATATGTGTACCAGTGCTTGTACTTCAGTACCCAGGGCCACCCAGAACTACCTGTGCAGCGAAAAGGGTTCAAATTTCTCCATAATATTGTTATAGAAATATTCTCATCATTATTGCTGTTATAATTATGATTGGTATAATTTGTCATTGTTAGCATTATGGAAGCACCAGACTGTTTGTGAAAGAGAACAAGGAAAGTTTTTTTTTTTTTGTTGTTGTTTTTGTCTGGCTGTTGGTGGTCAGATCTCACAGAGGGAGGGGAGGAATGGCTCAGAACGAGATAAAGATGGCAGTCATGTTTGTACTGGTTGGGAAATGACTTACAGTGCTGAAATAAAATTTATTCTTTTAGTAAAAAAATGTATTTGTGGTGTCCAGTGTCTTGATGTGTAGAAGACAGACTGAATACAAAGGTTTGCTGCAATGGAGAAAGCAGAGCAACTGAAGCAACTGTACATGTTGGTAAGCAGTTTATAAACTGATTTATGGATGTCCTGCAGGCCTTTTCCAGAAAAAGAAGTAGTCTGTTAGTTCTTTGGAAAGGTCTACCTAATGAGTTAAAGAGCTATCTAAAAAGAGAAGTGTACTGATGGATGAAATTCCACATCTCTGAAAACCAAAGCTGTTTTTAATTACAAAACTATGGATGGGCTACTGAAAATATCTAAAGGCCACAGGTCCAGGGAGTCAAAGGGACCCTAGTCTTCACCTGCCAAACAGCAATCACAAAGAAATGATAAATAAAAAGACACACAAATGACATGGCTACATGTTTTGTGATTGTTTTGTCTCCTTCGGTGTGGGGTTTTTTTTCCATTGTAGGAGAGGTGGGGGCCCACTGGCATAATTTGTCTATGTCTTTAAAGCATTACTAAATGACGTATTAAACATTAATAAAGCCATTGATTACAGTTTTTATAAACCCAGAGACATTTGCATGTAATAGAGTATTTTTAAATGTAGTAGTGGTACTTATCCTTAAGTTAAGGGCCTGAGTACTTCTTCAGTCACTGATCTTACAGAGCATGTGTGTTTGACTGAGATTGGGCTGTGTGGCTGGGGGCCCAAGTCTCGTTCTGGGCGCGCAGCACAGACGCCGAAGTATCGAGATATTTCGACTTACCATCGACAGTTCTCTCAGCAACTACTAGGAAAGATGGCGAGGATGATACGCGGAACCACCTGGGAAACATGAAGGCTCGCGGTAAACCTCGCTGCTTTCGTTTGGTGCTCCAACAGACGACGATTACAGGGAATGGGTCGTCGTAACAGACACAGACGACCCTGATAGCCGTGGGTCTATCACCGTGTCCGGGCCGGTCGAAATGACAGCAGGCGGACTGAGAGGTCGAGAACCGCCAATTCCAGCTAGCTGTCAGCTAGCTTGTTACCAATGTTGGCTAGCTGGTTAGCTGACTTCCAAGGCAGCCTGGTGCTGCTACTGCTGTTCAAGGCTAAACTATAACGTTATTACATCACCTGCTGATAGTATTATTCATGTAGCTATCGCCTTAATGTCAACAAAACCAAAACGCTAACTAGCCTGAATGGCTGAGATGATAACCTATTAGCTTCACGGATCTAAGGTATAAGCAGAAAATATTCGCAGTTTATTAATTTCTGCTGCGTAACGTATGTCTGATATGTGTTTGCCTAAAAGCTAGTCTATCGTGTCCTGCTCATCATAACATGTTTTCCTTGTTCCACAGGTACTCGTTTGGCATCGGAGATGCTCCTCGGGGACAGGGAGCCTCTGAGAAATAGGCTACATCATTCTCTGGACTGGTCACTTCCTCTGTTTTCTCACGTATTAAAGTTTCACTCCAGACCCTGATAGATATGTTGCACTGCAAAGTCACAAGAGAACAAGGAAACCTTGAATCTTTGTTGTGGAGTAAGGTTTTAATCCAGACGATTAAAGATGTCACTGATGTGGACTTCAGAGGAGGAGGAGGGAGCTGTGGGATGAGGTAGTAGTTTGTATAGTTTTAGGATCACAACAGATCTGGGAGATAACTATACAGCCTACTGTCTTTCTCACAGCAACCAAACCATCACTTACATGAGGAGCCACATCCCGTTACCATGGTGACTGAAGCCTTGTTGTTGGCAACCAACAGTGCTGAAAAAATACATGTACAGTTCTGCGCAAAACGTTTGGCATGAAAAATAAAGTGTAAATGTTTTCAAAGATAATGCCATGAATAGTTTTTTTTTTTTAAGTTCAGAACAGCTGCAGAAAAAATGTATTTAGGTGTGACCACCAACAACATCAGTTCTCCTTGCTACACTTGGTCAGTTTTTCCAGGTACTAGTCAGGTTGAGTGTTCTAGCATCTTGGAGAACCTACTACAATTCTTCTTTAGATTGAGTATATTTTGATGTCTTCTGTCTCATGTGATGTAAGGGCCAGACCACGTCTGGTCTCTGAACACCATTCTACATGACTGGCTGTGTTTGGAGTCCTGCTGCAGAATGCAGATGGCTCCCTGATGATGATGTGTGATGGATTAAAAATCTGAACATCTAAAGTGCCTAAAACCTTTGCATAATACTGTACATTGTATTGACTTTGCTGAGTAGACTGTCTTGCTGTCCTGTTGTATTTCTGGTAGTTCATAGTGGATTTTGGCTTCTGCATTGGATGGTGGTCCTGTTGTAGAGGTGTGCTTCTTTTCACTGACTCCAGGACATCTGCATCCAGAATTAGCTGACATTCACTGGACTCCATTCTCCCCTCTGTATGTATTTGCATTTCCTATGCCACTGGCTGCCACACAAGCAAAGCAGAATTGGTAAAGTGGGGGAAACTACAGTAAGTATTGGTCTAGTAGGATGTCAAATGTTTACAAAATTAGTTTTTTGTTTCTTAAGTTCATGAAATAAAAGGTTTAACATCTGACAAAGGCCCAATTTGATGTCTGGAGTTAAATTCATTTTTAAAATCTACAGAATGTGTAATTTGCCCAAATTGTTCACAATTATATGTTTTTCCCCTCGTTAATACTGCCTCCTATGTTAATGGTGTGTCAAGGCATATGTGATTGTAGCTGTACTGTGGTGAGGTAGTATGTTGTGTTGGTGGGATAGTGCAGCCCCTATTTTGAAGATACATCTATATAACTTAATGCCTTCCACAATGTGGCAGCATGATGCACTGTGTTACAGCTTCTGCACTGTCTTCAGACATGTACATCACTTCACTTTTTGTAGTTCTTCAGTCTGCTAATAAATACAGTAGATACCTACTTGTAGAAAGTGTGTACTGATTTATTTTTCAAACTAAGATGATGAAAGTGAATCTACAACTATTTTGATAATTAACCCTTTAAGTCATATTTAATGAGGAAATTATTACATTTACCTGTTCAGCATACAAGCAGTATATAAAATATTTAGCAAATGGTTTATAACATATTCTGTTCTAAGTGTTTACTGATACACTGTATTTGTCAGCAATATAACTTCTTATTTAAAGACATTATAGTTGTTATACCACATTGTCATTCAGTATCTGGCAATACAGCAGCCTCCACTTACTAGTATTTACTAGAGGAACCAATAACCACAAACAAAACCAATAAATACAACAAGATACAACTACATTATAGTATTATAAATATTAGTATAAACTCTTCCGTATTTGTCCAGTAAACTTGACACATTAAACCTCCTGTTGCATCAGGGGATTACCTTAGCTGACCTCTTACAGGAGCTGCAGCGCTGGAGTGATTGGACTTTAGCCCTATTCATTCTGTTAATCAGGAAATACCCAGAGGGGGCGTTCCCCTAAATTCTCACCGGTTGGTCAGCTCACAGCCGTGAAGGTGGAGCTTATGTGACCAAAGAACGGAGAAATAACGCGAGTTCTCTCACTATCGACTGTATTTATAATACCACTCAATCGTAAAACATACCATTGTTTTACACAACTTCATCCGGCTATAATTTCGTTTTAATTCGTTGACCAGAAATGTGATGCGTTTAGTTATAGCGGTCGTTTATAAAAAAAATGTATTTTGTTTCAGGGTTTTTTTGTCGTGAAAATTAGGTGGTCTAAAATATTCTTCGTCAAAACTTTCTGTGACAAAATTAAGTGGGTCTGGTTTGGTCCACTTTCCGAAGCAAAATGTGCAGGTAATGCATCGAATACGCTGGCTGCCAACCTCCGTTGCAAACCAAAATGAAGAAGCAGTGGCTCACTTCTCTCCTCTGTCAAATAGACGATCTTTGATGTGACGTCAACACCGGATAAATATGGCGAACATTCGGTGTGTCAAGGTGAGCATAGGAAATAAAGATCTATCGGCCCGTCACACTGTCCTGTTTTATCTTGTGTAATCTGAGAAAATGTGATGTGTAAGACTGGGATACTCGTGATGTGCGTTTTATTTCTGCTAGCTTGACTTATCTGTAGGCCAGAGCGTTCATTGTTCAGATGACATGTGGGAGGTCCACTGGCCGTCCTCGGTTGTGTGTTTGCTAACCTGTCCACTCTGGGATACACTGACATTTGAGTCTTATGCGGTATTTTTGCACAATTTTAAAGGTCGAACCATTGATGGATTGGGTTGTCTGCATCTCCATTTCCATTTTAAGCTATTGCAACGTTACTTTTTATGTCATGAAGTTAAGAAACGATGTGCCACATGCCTCCGCATTAATCAGACGAGTGCTGAGTTCTTTGTCACCCATGTTTTGTTTGTCCTTTTTTCGTGTGTGTATTGCATTGTGAAGGGTATGGTAGGCCTGGTGACGGGCGGGGCATCTGGTTTGGGCCGGGCCACCGTGGAGCGGCTGGTGCAAAGCGGAGCGTCTGCTGTGATCCTGGACTTGCCGTCCTCGGAGGGACAGGCTCTGGCCGCCAGCCTGGGAGACCGTTGCGCCTTTGCTCCTGCAGACGTGAGTCCAAAACTCACCAGACATGACAGACTTAGACGCATTCACTCATCCAAAATCTACATGCACGAATAGAAGAACCTGGCTGCACACAAGATGGCGGACTGCTGACCTCGACAAAAAGTTGTCGAATGTCAATATTAGTCCCGAAGTTATTCACAAGTCAGGGTTGGGATTAGGAATAACCCTGACCGCAACAGAACTTTAACAGCTCCTATCCAAGGTTGACGGTGCACCATTCTGGGTTGCCATCTGCCATCTTGTCTTTAGCCAGGGCATTCTCTGTATATCCAGGTGAAAAACTGACAGAATTCAGCAATTCCAGGCCACACTGGTACTAACCCCGCTCCTTTTCTTGTCTTCGATACTTTGCTTAATTAACCCAGACTGTTGCCTCTTCATCCTGTTGGTACTGAAGTCATTCAGTCTGTGGTTTCTCAGGTATACCCTGGTGTCAGAGGGTTTCAGAGGCTGTGGGTTTGTTAGTGCAGTGGTGGTGCAGCTGCACGTAGCCCGTTGAAGCCTGCATGATATCAACGTGTTGAAGACTCCCTGGCTGCGTCCGAAACCGCCTACTACCATACTGTATAGTAGGCGAGGCGAGTAGTATGTCCGGATTCGTAGTATTCCAAAAACAGTAGGCGAAAAGTACCCGGATGACCTACTGCTTCCGGCTGGATTTTGCAGTGTGCATACGATGGACACTTCACTATCCCATGATGCCCCGGGAGAGGAGTTATCCAACAAAGAAGACGCTGCTATGAAAACGTATGTCACGTGATGTATCAACATGGCGGATGTAGTACGTCCGAATCTCATTCATACTACCAGGCTTCATACTATACAGTACCTACTGTTTTAACGGTCAGTAAGTAGGTACTTCATCTCTTTCAGTACGTACTGTCACAGTATGCGGTTTCGGACACAGACAGTCCCTCTCTCCAATACAAGGGCCTGTTATGACTTTAAACTTATGAATTTTTCAGATTTCTGTTGATTTGGTGATGCCTGTGATTACTATGATAACTCCAAGATGTAAACATTCACCGAGCAGCTACAGTGCCTTGCGAAAGTATTCGGCCCCCTTGAACTTTGCGACCTTTTGCCACATTTCAGGCTTCAAACATAAAGATATAAAACTGTAATTTTTTGTGAAGAATCAACAACAAGTGGGACACAATCATGAAGTGGAACGAAATTTATTGGATATGTCAAACTTTTTTAACAAATAAAAAAACTGAAAAATTGGGCGTGCAAAATTATTCAGCCCCCTTAAGTTAATACTTTGTAGCGCCACCTTTTGCTGCGATTACAGCTGTAAGTCGCTTGGGGTATGTCTCTATCAGTTTTGCACATCGAGAGACGGAAATTTTTGCCCATTCCTCCTTGCAAAACAGCTCAAGCTCAGTGAGGTTGGATGGAGAGCATTTGTGAACAGCAGTTTTCAGTTCTTTCCACAGATTCTCGATTGGATTCAGGTCTGGACTTTGACTTGGCCATTCTAACACCTGGATATGTTTATTTGTGAACCATTCCATTGTAGATTTTGCTTTATGTTTTGGATCATTGCCTTGTTGGAAGACAAATCTCCGTCCCAGTCTCAGGTCTTTTGCAGACTCCATCAGGTTTCCTTCCAGAATGGTCCTGTATTTGGCTCCATCCATCTTCCCATCAATTTTAACCATCTTCCCGGTCCCTGCTGAAGAAAAGCAGGCCCAAACCACGATGCTGCCACCACCATGTTTGACAGTGGGGATGGTGTGTTCAGGGTGATGAGCTGTGTTGCTTTTACGCCAAACATAACGTTTTGCATTGTTGCCAAAAAGTTCGATTTTGGTTTCATCTGACCAGAGCACCTTCTTCCACATGTTTGGTGTGTCTCCCAGGTGGCTTGTGGCAAACTTTAAACGACACTTTTTATGGATATCTTTAAGAAATGGCTTTCTTCTTGCCACTCTTCCATAAAGGCCAGATTTGTGCAGTATACGACTGATTGTTGTCCTATGGACAGAGTCTCCCACCTCAGCTGTAGATCTCTGCAGTTCATCCAGAGTGATCATGGGCCTCTTGGCTGCATCTCTGATCAGTCTTCTCCTTGTATGAGCTGAAAGTTTAGAGGGACGGCCAGGTCTTGGTAGATTTGCAGTGGTCTGATACTCCTTCCATTTCAATATTATCGCTTGCACAGTGCTCCTTGGGATGTTTAAAGCTTGGGAAATCTTTTTGTATCCAAATCCGGCTTTAAACTTCTCCACAACAGTATCTCGGACCTGCCTGGTGTGTTCCTTGTTCTTCATGATGCTCTCTGCACTTTAAACGGACCTCTGAGACTATCACAGTGCAGGTGCATTTATACGGAGACTTGATTACACACAGGTGGATTCTATTTATCATCATTAGTCATTTAGGTCAACATTGGATCATTCAGAGATCCTCACTGAACTTCTGGAGAGAGTTTGCTGCACTGAAAGTAAAGGGGCTGAATAATTTTGCACGCCCAATTATTCAGTTTTTTATTTGTTAAAAAAGTTTGAAATATCCAATAAATTTCATTCCACTTCATGATTGTGTCCCACTTGTTGTTGATTCTTCACAAAAAATTACAGTTTTATATCTTTATGTTTGAAGCCTGAAATGTGGCAAAAGGTCGCAAAGTTCAAGGGGGCCGAATACTTTCGCAAGGCACTGTACTTTGTCAGAACAGGACAATTGGTGTAACTGTTTACAGTGCAGCAAAACCAACTCCTTTTTTTTTTTAACCAAGGAAGTCAGTCAGTAATTGGCCATTTTCCCATCATGCTATGGACAAATACAGCATGCAGGTGGGTTTCCAACAAGCAGCTGGACACAATAAAAGGAGCAGTTACCTTGCTGAAGGAGTTGAATGTGTGCAGTCTGTTGCCTTCAGCTTTTCATCTGAGCTCACTGTGGCTGTTCCATTACTCCCTGTTCTATTTCACATTGGCTCACTGACAAAACAAATGGGCAAAAATGAGCATTGTCTTGTTTTAAAGACGCACTTTTCATGAACCACTGGGATTGTTGCTAACCCTGGTGACAAATTGATGTTTTTTTTTTTTCCCCCAGTAAAAGTCACCCTGTGTTTTGCCAGTTATATCCTTTTAAAGTGAAGCAGGAGCAGTACTTTGGTTTGTATTGGCAGTAACTAAATAAAGCACTGATGCAGGTCTGGGAGAGTTGCAGATGCAATATTGCTGCTCTGACTGGACTTGTAGTACCTCCTCAGCCCAGTAGATGGCACTCACACACCACCCAGCACTGTCATTACCTGGATTACATTCAAAATGAACCCAAATGTTTGGATGTTCAGCGTGTATCTCTACATTTGCATTTGTTACATCTGTCTTCTCACCCAGGATACACCGGTTGTGGTTTTCTAGGTGACATCACAGGCAGACGTCCAGTCAGCCGTGTCCCTGGCCAGAGAGAAGTTTGGGAAGTTGGACCTGGCGGTTAATTGTGCCGGCATCGCTGTGGCTGTTAAAACCTATAATTTTAAGAAGGACACCCCTCACAGCCTGGAGGACTTTCAGCGTGTTATCAATGTAAGATGGGACAGGCAGACACATACACGTACCAAAAGAAGGAAGGAGAAATAGCAGTCACAGCTCATCAGACACTTATGTGACTTTGTGTACTGCAGGTGAACATCGCAGGAACCTTTAATGTGATTCGCCTTGCTGTGGGTGAGATGGGAAAGAATGAGCCCGATGCAGACGGACACAGAGGCTGCATCATTAACACTGCCAGTGTGGCAGCATTTGATGGGCAGGTAACCTCAAGTAAATGAAAACATTAAAAGCAACAGTGAGCCAAGTGGTTATTCTGTTCATCCATTCCCCCATTTCCATTTGTCTCAAGGTTGGCCAGGCTGCATATTCAGCTTCTAAAGGTGGCATTGTTGGAATGACCCTCCCCATTGCAAGAGATCTGGCACCAATGGGCATTAGGGTCATCACCATAGCACCAGGTTGGTAGAATTACTTTTCATTCTCATGTCTGGACAGTAAATATGAAGCTATAGGCACCAGTGTACCTTTGACTGGAAACAGGGAAACAGTGAGACCGACTGAAGTTAATGAAATCCACCTACTAACACCTCTGGAGCACATTAATATATATTACACATATTATCAATGGGGTAAGTGTGTATAAACCTTTGGTAGTGTAGCTTGTTTGTTTAATCCACAGCTGGGGTTTATGCAGTGAATGAGCCACTGTGCAGGTAACAATTCTGTAAGCATTTGAGAGGAAGCAGGGAAACGCCGGAGCTGCTCCAAGTCCACATTACTGACAGACCATCTGAGTCTGGGTTTATAAGGAGCTTCTTTTACACATCCAGGGAGTGATGTGGTAGTGAGTCCTCAAAAGCCAGAACTGAGTCAGCAGTTTTGCACTTCCCTTTACTTAACCCTGGGTTTTTGGTTGGATACCTTTAAATAAATTCTGTGGTTAACACAAGCCCAGTACATTTTCCCATTTTATTATATGTAACATAAAATATGTCGGTAAATACCACTTGTGATTTCTAATGCTTTTACAAGTCTAAAAAAAAAAGGCTGTTGCTAACAAGTGGCTAAATGAGACTACGGAGGCTGTCTGGGATTTTACCCGTCAGCATGTTGAACATGGAGACTCATCTACTCACTAGTCTGACTTTACAGCCTCGTTATTTTTTAACTCACCCACTTGCAAACTGACTTGATCACTAGCTAGATCAGGAAGAGGAAAGGGTTTTATAGAAGAGGTAAACGCACTAAATCAAATTACCAGTTGGAAGCCGTGGTGATGCTGAAGTCATGGGACCGTGGTGTAGTTTGTTTATAGCCTAACAGCTTTTTACTTCTGCCGATTGTATTTGGGCTTCAAAAAAGATTCTTTTTGAACAAAACAAGTATCAAAAACTTTTGTTTGCCTGCAATGATCCAAAAGCCTATAGAAAAATCCCATTGGCTTTTGGTCAAGGGAACCAGGGTGATGCTAACTTCAGGTTGACCTACAAAAATACATCAACCCTACGGTGCTCTATACAGAGATGCTGTATAAGTGGAATCTGATCTTTGATTCCTTTGTTTGTCTGTGTTTTGTAAAGCTTAATGTTCAGTGACAAAAGTGTTTATCAAATGCCTTTTAAAAGCCTTTAGAAGATAAAAACTGTTTTAGCTAGATAGGTTCAATCAACACATGGTACAAACAGTGCACAATGCTGACCTGTCACTGAGTCCCAGAGTGGACATCGGGCTGTGCTGGGACCCATGACAGACCCCTAACACAGTCTTTAACTCAAGAGCAAATACTGGGTGGCAAAGGGCAGATACGTGGGGGCTTAACCTGGCCTTGTATCTGCATTGTACCTGGTCAGGTCAGAGACTGGTCCAGCTGGATTGTTGAGCAGCATCATATAAGAGCCAGCTCTGCTCAGTTGGCGACCACCATGTTTCAGTAGTCTTACTCATTACCTGTGGTATGAGACCATTTGGAGTTATGTCCTCTGACTTGTCTTCAGAAGTGGAGGAACCAGCTCCTCCTCAAACACAAGTATTAAACACATTATTCAATAATGTAACTGTTCAATAAATACATGAAAGATCATGACAGTTTTATCAGCTTAGAAATATTGTGCTTGTTGATATTTGTGACTTTGATGTAGATCAGATCACATTTCAAACCAGGAAATTACAAACGGTGCCATTACTTTTTCTTGTGACTGATGATGATGATGATGATGAGTCAGAGCAGGCATTATTCTGCATAAGTACTTCTAGTTTTGGTACTGTAATATATTCTTTTTCTGTACTTGTTACCTAGTAGGATTTTTAATGCAGGACTTGACAAGTTTTACTTTACTTTATTGCTACTTGAGGAAATGATCTATGTCTTCACCACAGATCATGGACCTGGATGGCGTTTGTCCTTGTTGATGTTCTTGCTCTTGTCAAATGTCAGTTTTTGTGTCTTTGTCTTTAATGTTTAGGATTTGATCACTGATTGAAATGACTGGAATTAAGCATTACAGCCTGTAATGTGAACACAGCCTCAGACACATGCTTACAAGAACAGCAGCATGCGTATGACAGGCCTCTTCAGCAGCTAATATGCGTTTAGCTTGTATCAGTATTCTTTGTGTGTCCCTCCAGGTCTTTTTGCTACTCCTCTCCTCGCTAGTCTTCCAGAGAAGGTCCGCTCATTTCTTGCTCGCCAGGTGCCCTTCCCCTCACGCCTGGGAGACCCCGCTGAGTTTGCCCACCTGGTGACGTCACTGGCTGAGAACCCCATGATCAATGGAGAAATCATTAGACTGGACGGAGCCATTCGCATGCAGCCATGAGACAGATTGTGTGTGTTTGTTGTAGAAAGCTGCATATAGGAAATACAAACTGTTCTGGATCCCAACTACCATTGTCCATGTTTGTGAGACTGTGAAAGTGTGTAAAAATGAGACTGTACATCATTCAGAGCATTACAATACTGTTCACCTTGTTTTATAAACTAACCTGGATTATAGTAAACCTCAGACAAGTTTGATTAGAACAAGGATCTTTGTGTTTTTTACAGAAAACCTCAGTTTTGCTTTGACCACCAGTTTCAGCTTTGTATTTGTCAATGCTTACACATTGTAGAGGACTGTGGGCTAATGGAAAGTAAGTTTATAGGCTGCAGAATACAACCCCAAATCAGATAAAGTAGGGACAGTATGTAAAGTCAAAATTAAAACAGAAAATAGTGATGTGTAAATCATCTGTGTCCTGTATTACATTGAAAACAATCCAGCAGCACATTATTTGATGTGATACCTCATCAGTTTTATTCTGTGTTCAAAATAAACGCTAACTTCAATTCTGAGGAAGCCCTATGTCAACAATGTCCTGGAGCACAGTCGACTGCTTTGAGCTCAGAGGCATTTGTGAAATGTGCGCTATGGTCAGATGAATCGGTACTTAAGGTCTTTTTTTTTTTTTTTTTTTTTTTGAGGCTGTGTGCTCTGGACCAGATGGAAAGGACCATCCAGACTGTTACCAGCAACAAGTCCAAAATCCAGGGTCTGTCATGGTCTGGGCTTGTCAGTGCCCTTGGCAAAGGTCACTTACACTTCTGTGATGGGCCCCATTAATGCTGAAAAGTACAGAGAGATTTTGGATCAACATAATGTCTTCAAGACATCTCTTCCCATGTATATTTGAACAAGACAACACAAAACCTCATACTGCACCTTACCAAGGCTGTGGAGAAAAAGGATGTGAGTGCTGGACTGACCTGACCCCAATAGGGAATGAGTGACGCTTTTGGAAATGCAAACTACAGTACCTTAAGCGTACCGTACATCAATGAAGACCCAGGACTGTTGCGCACCTTAGGGTGTGTTTGCAGGAAGAATGGGACAAAATGACACCTGATATACTTAATCACTCGGCGTCCTCAGTCCCTAAATGTCTTTTAAGGGTTGTGAAAAGGAATGGCAACATCACACTGTGGGAGAAACACTTTACTGTCACAACCTTTTTTGGAATGTGTTGCATCAGAATGAAGTGAGTTTTTATTTTTAACACAAAACTGTGTCAAATAATGTGCTGCTGGATACAGGATACCAATGATTCACACATCACTATTTTCAGTTTTGATTTTACATATTGTACTACTTTATCTGATTTGGGGTTGTAGTATATAATCTTATAATAATAAAGTACATAATGAAATAGTGCAGTCATGGCCAAAAATATTGCCTGCCCTGCATTTCAATCAGATAACGTACCACTTTTCCCACACTATTGTTGCAGTCACAAATTCTTTGATATTCTCATGGTTATTTCTTTAGTTTGCATTGGAACAACTGTGTTGTGCCATCCGATGCACAGAGTGCACTGGACAAACTGACACTGAAACCAGACACACTCTGCCTCATCCTGCACTCATCAGCTGTGATCTGAGAAACGTGGATTTTAGAGTTGCATACAGTTTGTCCTGTTTGTTTCGCTAGAAGCGTCTGCAGCCATCAGCCTCTTGGTGTGTTTTGTTTTGTACACAGCCTCCATCTTTCCATCAGATTGTGATGTATATATGGAAGTAAACCCCCACCACAACATTTGAAGGTGCTCTAACCACATTCTGAGCACTGCTCACTTTGCAGTGGTTAGCAACTTGTGCACATGGAAACCTACACAGAGTTTTATAAATGAGGCCTCCGGTGAGGTTGAAGCACTGTCCAGTCCTGTTGTGGAAACGGCTCTGGTACTGACAGTTCTGAAATTCATTGCCTCCTTTTAGTGAGGCTTGTTTGTAAGTGTTGGATTCACCAAACTGCAACTTAACTTGTAAAATTCTAGTTTCAGACTGATGACTAGCACCTGTTCATGAGAAGGTGCATGTTTATAAGGTTTGATTATTAGCATAACCAGCACTCCCAAACTGCCATGAGGCTGGCTGTTCTGCTTCCTTAGTGGGAATGTTTCATTCACAGCAATGTCACACAAGACTAAAGGATTTCACAGTGCAAAGTTTCAGGTCTGCCATCAAAAATCAACAAACTGAAACATAAATTTAACAGTCAGTGGTCATTTTGAAGGAGATGAAACACAATGTTAGCATTACACATGTCAGTAGTGGAGAAGGATGATATTGGACACAGAACTGCACACGGGTGTGGAAGCCAGTAGGTGGAACAGAAGGCTGTTGGCAGGACATGAAAAATTGAAAGCTGATCTCAGATAAGTACAAGTACAGAAATCTCATTTGTGTATTTTCATAATGACAAAATTTGGTACATTTCAATCTAATTTGAATCAGACATGGATTTGGGCTGTACAAATATGATAGAGCATGGGATTCCCGTTCAAGCAGTGTTATAGGCAAATATCTATAAGCCAGTATGAAGGAGTCAAAACACATATTGCACAGTTGTTGTAGTAGGGCATAATCAGGGACAGTAGTAGCCCTTATTCCTCACCTTTGGTAATAGTATAAAAGAAGGATGGTTCGATTTGGTTGTGTGTAGATTACCGGCAGCTTAGCATGAAGACCTGGAAGGATGTGTTTCCACTTCTATGCACTGAAGAATCCCAGGATGCTTTGAGTGGTGGCTTTCCACCATTGACCTGGCAAATGGGTACCACCAGGTGTAAGTTGCAGAAAAAGGCTGCTCTAAGACAGCACTCTGTACAACTTTTGGTTTGTATGAGTTTAATGAATGTCATTTGAGCTTTGCAACTCCCTGGGTATGTTTCAGGCTGATGAAGCGGATTTTGGGTGATCAGAGGTTTCATTCATTCTGCTTGTATTTGGATGATAGTTTTCTTCCACAGTGGAACAGTACCTTCAGAATTTAGATCTAGTGCTGTCTGGCTTAAGGCAATGCAATCTCAAGGTTAAAGGGCCCGTGGCGCTTTTCCTTGTTTTGTGACTTATCTACAATGTTACAATGGTGAATTATCATCTTAGATGTGACCTAAAGCTAAAAAAAATGAGGTGAACGTATGTTCTAATATTTCTATGCAGCAGCAACTTAGTTTATACGAGTCTCAGAAACTCTCGCTTGCGAGACTTTTTTTTCTAACAAAATTAAGTATTATGTGATGGTTTAAGGATTTGGGCATAAAATCCAGGCCATTGAGCATTCATGTGAGCTTGCCTGACATCCACCGGTGCCCCCACCATACTGGCAAAATGTTATACTGCCTTGTTTGTTATGTGTATTTTCAATAAAGCTTATTTAAAAAAAAAAAGGCACAATCAGCTCTCACACAATCAACTGACATTTATATACACACCTGAAAAGCTCTCATGCAAACTACTGAGACACTTTCACACGCCCTAGTAAAATGCATTTATATATACACAGAAAAAAAATCCCACACTGACACAAAATCATTCATATTGTAGGATGCTGGGAGAGCTGGGGGGATGCCATGGACCACACACATGCTGCGTTTTCATTCTTTGTGGGGACTTTACATTGACTTACATTTGCACTGACACCGATGCCGGTGTCTGCTGCCAGACCGACTGTAGCCTTCAGTGGACCAGCAGAGGCTGAAGCGCTGGCCAGTTCTGCTTTGGCAAAAGCTCTGGCACTCATAGTATCTACAGAGGCTCCTGCTCCTGCACTGGCGTTGGGCCCTTTGGCCTCAGCATCAAAAATACTCCATTCAGCTCGAGCATGACCCACTCCTGCATCAGTGAACGCTCCGGCCTTGGGAATGCGCTTCCCAGGTTTGTCCTCAAACCCCTCTGCAAACGTTCCAGTGCCAGCATAGGTACTAACAGCGAAGGCTTTACCAGGCCGGTCAAAGGTGTCGACCACCTCCAGCACCCCTTGTTCACCAAGGCAAACTCCACGACCTACTTCCATTACTGCATCAGCTGCAAACAAAGACACAGAACATCTCAAAGATGACTGAAAAATGAATTATCAATGGAAACATAGTATATATGTTGTGTGGAGATTTCTAGAAAACTGTAATAATATTTTAGAAAAAAAAATTATATGCCCAGAGAGCAGGACTGGTGCTGTTGCCCACGATATAGCAGGTGTTCTGGGGGAAGGAAATTTTGGGTTTGTGGGTTCTTTCTGGGGGAAAACTCATGTATATAGGTTCTGATGTTCAGTGCTGGTGTTGATAATAAAATCAGTAGCTATCCAGGATTGTGCAGTATATGGAGCATGGAAGCCTACATAAAAGACAGCGTAACTACATCGCCATTCCTTGGCAGAATCCCTTGAGCCCACTAACTCGCCACATTGGTGTCAGAAGTGGGATCGTGTTGAGAATGATGTAAAACAACAGTAAGAATGTTGGGCTTTTAAAGGTTTATTGTTTAACAATTGCATTTGAGCTGTTAAAATGGCGTTGTAAACTCCATATTTCAAAAGGAATATTTTCAGAAAAATGTTATTATATTTCAAGAATAGGATCACCAAACTAGTGTTATAATGTACTGAGGTACTGATGTGTCAGACAGCAGTCCCTAACTACTGAAACATATATTAGTATAAAGTATCATTTCAGAACCCCATGTACAGTATAGTGACAGAGCTTTCTCACCTCTTCTCAAAAGATTCTCAAAGTATTACAGCTAAAATATTAGGACTTTTTCATGTGTGCTCTCCCTGCCGCTGTTTTTCCTCTACACAAACAGCTGTGTGAAGTGAAAGCATGTGTCACAAATGACACATGCTTTCACTTTCTCTCCCCAGGTCGTCACCTCGATGAACAGTTAACCTATGACTGTATAACAGAACGTCAACCCTCAGTGCAGTGCCTGTAAATATACCTTTGTGTATATATATACTAACCACATGCCACCCATGACAATACACATTATTATTATTTGTTATATACAATATACTGTAGTCATACTATAGTAGTAATTATAGTACAATAGTTTATTATATAATACTGTAAACTAGATTACTGTACTGTATGTGTTGCTATACTACATGACTACTGTAACTTTATTATTTTATATTTCATTCTAAATTATACTGTACTATGTCAAATTTGGTATTATTGTTTTTGAATCATATGATATACTAT